TGAGAACTGGTTTTCTATATTTATGTTAAAGGGACCGAAGAAGTATTTCAAGTGACAATGCCATTCAAATTGCGAAGGAGAATCCCCAGTTAACATAAAAATATCTTCTTTTTTCAGCTTAAAAATTTATAATTTTTAATTCGTTTTTTTTTCCTTAAAAGTGACTTGCGGATTTTTGTGCAGTAGACTAAGAACGTAATTTACATAATTCAACCCCTTCAAAAGATTAAAGAGACTATTTATATTTATTCTCTTTCTCCTTCCTCTCTATTTCCTTCTCCTTTCCTATCTCCTTCACTCCCTTCCTTTTCCTCCCCATCTTATCCTTCCCTTCCCCCTCCCTTTATCTATATATATAAAGTTGTAATCTCTGTTTGTCTGTCTGTTAGTTTGTTAGTCAGGAGAGGTTTTGAGATTCTAAGTTGAGTAAGTTGACTTAAATAGCAGAAATGTAGTTTTCCGGTAAAATTGTTTAAGTGTGGGTAAATGGCGGGAGTAACTATGAGTAGTGAGTACTCCAGCTAGTATATACAATATACATGACTTATGAGAATGAGATAAAATATATACAGGGTGTCCCAAAAAAACGATCTTTAAGACATTGTAGCACTCGCCATGGTTCAATTTTAAAAAAATGTACATTTTTTAAATCTTTGGAACATTTCCGATCGATTGATTTCAATTAGAGGTATGTAGCAGTAAAATTAAGAAAGTATTGACCGTTTGAACTTGAAGTCAAGATATTTACGTGACCGGAGAACTATATATATAAAGCAATAATCAGAGTTAGGAGTTGAGTTTTTACACTNAGTTCTACACTTTACAGTTAGTTTTCAGACATGTTAATCAATAGTTAGTTCTACACTTCACAGTTAGTTTTCAGACATGTTAATCAATAGTTAGCTCTACACTTCACAGTTAGTTTTCAGACATGTTAGTCAATAGTTAGCTCTACACTTTACAGTTGGTTTTCAGACATGTCAATCAATAGTTAGTTCTACACTTCACAGTTAGTTTTCAGACATGTTAGTCAATAGTTAGCTCTACACTTTACAGTTAGTTTTCAGACATGTCAATCAATAGTTAGTTCTACACTTCACAGTTAGTTTTAAGACATGTTAGTCAATAGTTAGTTCTACACTTTACAGTTAGTTTCAGACATGTTAGTCAATAGTTAGCTCTACACTTTACAGTTAGTTTCAGACATGTTAATCAATATTTAGTTCTACACTTCACAGTTAGTTTCAGACATGTTACTCAATAGTTAGCTCTACACTTCACAGTTAGTTTTGAGACATGTTACTCAATAGTTAGCTATACACTTTACAGTTAGTTTCAGACATGTTAATCAATAGTTAGTTCTACACTTTACAGTTAGTTTCAGACATGTTAGTTTATAGTTAGCTCTACACTTTACAGTTAGTTTTCAGACATGTTAGTCAATAGTTAGCTCTACACTTTACAGTTAGTTTCAGACATGTTAATCAATAGTTAGTTCTACACTTCACAGTTAGTTTTCAGACATGTTAATTAATTTAGTTAGCTTTACACTTTACAGTTAGTTTCAGACATATTAGTCAATAGTTAGTTTTACACTTTACAGTTAGTTTTCAGACATATTAGTCAATAGTTAGTTTTACACTTTACAGTTAGTTTTGAGACATGTTACTCAATAGTTAGTTCTACACTTAGAAAGTTAGTTTTCAGAAATGTTAATCAATAGTTATAGCACTACACTTTACAGTTAGTTTCAGACATGTTAGTCAATAGTTAGTTCTACACTTTACAGTTAGTTTTCAGACATGCTAGTCAATAGTTAACACTTCACGTTTTGCGGTAATTCCTTTGATTGGAGCTTTAATTTATAACCCCATTTTAAATTTTTCTAAAAGTTTTTATCGTTTATTCTTTTTATGTGTATTCTAATTTTATGTGTTAGTTTTCAGACATGTTAGTCAGTGGTTAGTTTTCAGTCAGAGTGTGTGTGTGGGGGGGTCGGGTACTTCTAACAAAGTTGCAGTGGATCTGATTTAAATTTAAGATCTCCAGAATCATGTCAAAACATTAAAACATATTTTGAAAATTGTATCAATATTATTAGTTTCGAATTCCACCAGAACAAATACCGTTCGGACTGTCCGACTTTTCTGCATCTGTGGTTACTGAGTACTGACAAAATTTCACGCTTTTTTTCACAATAGAGTTTCTTTTTTGGTGAAATCGCAAATCTCAGAAATACGGCTCGATGCTAAGATGGCAAGGTCTTTCAGTAAAAATGGCTGAAAACTAAATTTTTACCTTACGAAGGAAATTTGTTTGAACTTTAACTTTTAATTTATCGTTTAAAGGCAATTTTTATGGACATTCTAACTTATTTCAGTGAATAAAATTTTAATTATTTATTACTTTTTATCAGGTTGAGCCTCGTTAATATACAGCCCTTGAAGCGCATCTGCCGCTGTAAGTTAAACACAAATTTATTTACGTCCAAAATTTCTCACGGAAGGTTTATAATTTTGCTAATGTGAATGCATGAAAAAGGCCACATTAACAGACGAACACATTAGTTAAGGTTATGGGGGCTCAGCCCCCCCAGTATCAGTAAAATATATATTCCCAGGGGTTTCAGGCCCTAACGGGTGCTTATCCCCAGTTATTCTTTAGTTTCATACCCATCCCATCAATAGTGGTTAGGGAGAGTATCTCCCCACCCCCCCCATTTTCCTAAAGCAGGCTCGTAGCTAGGAATACTTCATGGGGGGCACAAAGTTTTGAAAACGAAAATAGGTTTAATAGGGGCCCACTGAGGTGAAACATCTTTGGACCTGAAAACCTTACAAAGTCTAAATCTATATAGGAGGGTAAATTCCTAGTGTAGGATTTTTGAATCATAGCCCCACCTCCCCCTTCTATCATGTTTAGAGCCATCCCGGCCCCCTAGCCTCTCGTGGCCGTAGCGCTTGGCCCCCTAGCATGTCCGAGCCGCAGCACTCGGCCCTGAAATTCTCTGAACCTAAATTGGACATTTGAAGTCATTGACTTATATTTTTAAATGTTACTTTTCCCCTATTTTCTGAGCCAAAAACAGGTCAATGCCCTCAGATCGTAAAGTAAATTCTAAATCTTTATAAATTACAAGAAATAAAGATTTAATGAAAAATTATGGCCTCCTATCTAAACAAAATGGAATAAGCATGGGTGTATAATTTTCAGAATGATTTGGGGGGAAAATTGGACATTTATCGGCATCCTTTTTATTGTTATTTTTAATAATTTGAACTTAAAAAGTCATTGATTTCCCCCCAGTTTCGAGGGGGGGGGGGTGAATTATTTGACCAGAAAATATACACCCCTGGTATTTTGATTTTACTATTTTTGAGACACCTTTAATTGTAATCTTGATATTCACTGTGGCAACTTTTATTTCATTGGAGAAGTGCTTGATCCCCTATTCTTGAAGCCACCACCACTGCTCAGTGCACAAGATACGGATTAACTCAATATGAATGCCCATCTCGGAATTCATAATTTAAAATTTTGACCTCAGGTGACGCTCATTTCAGTATAATNGATTTCAGGTAAAATTAGCTGGATTTATTATGGCAGTTTTGGAGGATTTCCTTATTATATAAATCGTGGAATTAAAAAAAACATAAGATAATGGTAAATAGTTGAAAAGAAAACGCTAAACTAACCCCAAAACCTACCCTTTTTGATTAAACTCACATTGAAAAGTGTGTTCTTTCTTCTTGTGATTTTACAGCTACCTTCCTTCATTCCTTTCTTTCTTCCTTCTTGTGCTTTCATAGCTACCTTCCTTCCTTCCTTCCTTTCTTCCTTCCTTCTTGTGATTTTACAACTACCTTCCTTCATTATTTTCTTTCTTCCTTCTTGTGCTTCCATAGCTACCTTCCTTTCTTTCTTCCCTCCTTCTTGTGCTTTTAGAGCTACCTTCCTTCCTTCTTTCTTGTGCTTTTACAGCTTCCATCCTTCCATCCTTCCTTCTTGTGCTTTTACAGCTACCTTCCTTCCTTCATTCCTTCTTGTGCTTTTACAAATACCTTCCTTTATCTTTGTTACGATTTTTAAGTACATTGCTAAGGCTAAGGTTACATTTAAGAAAAACTGAGAAAGGTCCAATTATTTAGGTACACACTGGATGACAGAACTGCACTGCAATAAAAGGGTGGGGGTAGAGGGGGGGGGGGGGG